CAGGGCGCATGCACTTGCCAGAGAAAAAGAGAGACAAAAAGCAAGAATCTCCATCCAGGGGAGACGGCCACGCCGCAATCTCTTCTCCTTCATTCTCCCCTCGGGACTCTGGGCTCCGACGTCGTCAACCATGATTCGAGTTCTGGACCCAACCGCTTAAACAACACGCCAGGTGTACGTGCGTGCGTGCCCAAGATTCCAGGAGGAGAATGGAGGAGAAGGGATTGTGAAGCGACCATCCCCCTGGGGGGGGGGCGATGTCTCACTGTCTCTGTGTCTCTCTCTGTCTGTCACTTTCCAGTGAGCACACGTGCCCTGTGGCAAACACCTAAACAAATAGAAATAAAAACCGACGGAGTGGATTATGTCACACTGTCGCACAACCCAGGGAAAGCAAGGAGGGGTGGTTTTCGTGCAAACATGCCGGGCAGAACTGCCTTGAGAACTGTGCCAGAACGGTAAGGGTACCAAGACCGCCGAACCCTGACACAAGGACTTGTGCGAGGACACCTGCCCAGACGCGGTCTGTCCAGCCTCGGGCTGGCGCCACCCCGTCTCGTACCTCCCCGAGTCTACGGCTCTCATCTACTACAGCAGCGCCGTCTGCATCGGAATGACTATTTCGGAAGAAACGCGCTTTTTTTAGACAGTCTTTCTCTCTGTTATTTACAAGTTGGCAAACCTCACAGAACTGAATTTTGCCAACAACGTCGTCAGCTCAAAAGAGGATTGTGAGCTGCAGAAAGGAACTCGGAGACCGCGACACTGTGGTTTTAGCCCACTGAAACCCTCAGGCGAGAACTCAGCCCCACCATACCTAGACCCCTGCTGCACAGAAACTGTGAGAGCACAAATGGGAGCTGGTGGACGCTGCCAAGTCTAAGGTCTTTTGTTACGCAGCATCCCTAACTGATACATCTCATGATCCAGAAATGAGGACTTCCTTCTTTTTCAGTACAATATTAGAAGGGGATGCCTTTTTTTTTTTTTTTTTTGTAGATTTTTGCCATAGGGTGCATGCATGCATTCACCAGAGACAGAGAGGGAAAATGAGAAATCTACCACTGGGTGGGAGACGGCCATGCCACAGTCCCTCCTCCATTCTCCCCCTGGGATTTGGGGCATGGGTTATATGTCCTCAGTGTGATTTTCCAGTCCTCAGCTCCAGGACTCGAACCACGGGGTTGGTGATGTGGGATCCATCCCCTTAAGGACCGTGCTACCTGCTGGCTCCCAAGGAGACACTTTTACAGAGTGAATGCCCAGGGATAACTATAAGGGCAGGGAGGCGGAGAGGTGGCTGGTGCTTCAGAAGCGCTGAGGTTTTGGAGGGAGAGGAGGCAGACACGGAAGCAACTTCGGATGTACGCGAGAACCATAACTCGTGTGTGTGTTATCAAATAACTATGCGTGAATTTCAGAATTCTCTAGCACGGAAATACACGCATACTTTGTTCCCATTTCCTTCCTTCCTTCCTCTTTCTTCCTTCCTCTTTCTTTCTCTTTCTTTCTTTCTTCCTTCCTTCCTTCCTTCCTTTCTTTCTTCTCTTTCTTTCCTTCTATTTCTTCTTTGTCCTTTCTTTCTTCTTTCTTTGTCTTTTTCTTCTTTCTTCCTTTCTGTCTTTTTCTTTCTTTCTTCTTTCTTTCTGTCTTCCTTTGTCTTTCTCTTTATTTCTTCTTTCTCTTTCTCTCTTTCTGTCTTTTTCTTTCTTTCTTTCTTTCTTTCTTTCTTTCTTTCTTTCTTTCTTTCTTTCTTTCTTTCTTTCTTTCTTTCTTTCTTTCTTTCTTTCTTTCTTTCTTTCTTTCTTTCTTTCTTTCTTTCTTTCTTTCTTTCTTTCTTTCTTTCTTTCTTTCTTTCTTTCTTTCTTTCTTTCTTTCTTTCTTTCTTTCTTTCTTTCTTTCTTTCTTTCTTTCTTTCTTTCTTTCTCTTTTTCTTTCTTCTTTATTTCTTCTTTCTTCTTGTCTTTCTCTTTATTTTCCTTTTTCTTTCTTCTTCTTCTTCTTTTTGTTTTTTGTCTGTCTCTTTGTTTCTTCTTTCTTTCTTTCCATAAACTCTTGGAAGTGCTCTCAAATGTTTATTCTGCCTCCAGGTCCTTTGGTTCAAGGCATGTGGAGGAATAATACCATGACTGAAAGTCAAACAAAACAAAACAAATCAAATCAAAAGAAGCTACTCCATGGGGGAGAGGGGGAGCAGCAGATGGTTTAATGGTAACGGTGCTGGATTCCCACATGGCAGACTGTGGTTCAAGTCCCGGACCCAGTGGCTTAAAACTCACACCGGGTGCGTGTGCATGTGTGCCCAAGATCCCGAGAGGAGAATGGAGGAGAAGGGATTGTGGCGTGGCCATCCCCCCTGGGGGGTGATTTCTCGCTTTCTGTCTCTCTCTCTCTCTCTCTCTATCTCTCCAACGAATGAACGCCCTGTAGCAAAATCTCTCTTAAAAAAAAAATTCCTCTGTCTTCATAAGTATGCACAAGGCTCACGTGTCAGTGAGATGAATGATAACCGAGACGGGCCAGCTTGGTGATGCAGGGCTAACGGCCGGCCCGCGGGAAAGCGGATCACACAGATGACTAAGGTCAAACACCCGCTGTGCACCCTTGACCCACGCTGGCTAGGAACGTGAGGTGGGGGCAGCACGTGGGTCCCCCGACGGTGCTCACCTCTGTCTCTGGGGTGTCTCGAAAAAAGGAGGGGAGATGGAAGAAGAAGGAAGGAGGGAAAGGAGGGAGACGTGAGGGAGGAAGGGAAGGAAGACGAGAAGGAGAGAGGAGAAAGGGAGGAAGAAGGAGGGGGTCAGGACGGCAGCCTCCCCCCATCTCTCCTCTGCGTGAACCTTCCCTGCACGTCCCTCCCCTCCCCTGCACAACCACAGAAGCACCTTCCGGAACGCAGTGCCATCTGCTCAGGAATCTCCGCCATCCCGTCGTCATCGCCCCCGAACACGCGTGGGGCACCAGGAAAGGGGACACCCGCCCGGCAACGGCAGAGACCTCATAACGGACACTCAGCAGGTCGCAGTGTCTAGAGATCCATGTGGTCATGTGTCATTCACAGGACAGGGGCCAGACGCTGGCATGGCAGGAAGACACGACCCTAGGAAGCATGACCACATGGGGAGGTCCCCGGTTCACATCCACAGACCTCCCTGACACGCCAGGCACGCATGTGCCCATAATCCAGGGATGAGGCTGGGGGCTGTCACACTTCAGGATCCTATGGAAATGCTGTCTCTACATAGCTCTCTCTGTCTCCATGTCTCTCTCTGTGTTTCTCCCTTTCTCACTCCTTTTACTCATGGAAGAAAAAAGTAAATACACATTTTTTTTTTGAGAGGTGTTTTTTTTGTTTTTTTGTTTTGTTTTGTTTTGTTTTGTTTTGTTTTGGCTATAGGGCATGTGTGCTGGCCAGAAAGAAAGAGCGAGAAAAAGAGATAAAGCCCAAGGGAGATGGCCACGCCGCAATCCCTTCTCCTCCATTCTCCTCTTGGGATCTCGGGCACACATGCCCAGCATGAATTTAAGCCACCGGGTTCAGGACTTGAACTGTGGTTAACTATGTGGGAGTTTAGTG